TTGAGACAAGGTCTCCCTGTAGCCCCAGCTGTCCTGGAACTCACTATGTAGACCAGGCCGGCCTTGAACTCACAGAGATTCTCCTGCCTTTGCCTTCTGAGTGCTGGGATTAAAGGCATGTGCCACCATACCCAGCATTATTTTGTTATATTTATTTATATTTATGTGTGTTTCTGTGTATATGGGTACCCACATGTATATGGGTACCCACAAAGGCCAGAACAGGACATCAGATCTCCTGGAGCTGGAGTTATAGGTGGCTGTAAGCCTCCTGACTTGGGTTTTGGGAACCAAACTTGTATCCTCTGTAAGTGGATGTTCTATAAGTGCTCCTAACTGCTGAGCTATCTTTCCAGCTAAGTATAGGTTTGTGCACATACCCCCACACGGACACAAATGCATATACATAATTCAAATTTTAAAAATCTCTAAACAAAACCAGGGCTGGAGAGATGGCTCAGCAGTTAAGAACACTGACTGCTCTTGCAGGGGACCTGGGTTCGATTCCCAGCACCCACATGGTGGCTACAAACCATCCTTAACTCCAGGTCCAGGGGACTCTGATGCCCTCTTCTGATCTCCATGGCATTGCACGACATGCAGGCAATACACTCATACACATAAAAATAATAAATAAAATATATTTAAAAAAAACCTTTTGCTGGGCATGGTGGCACAGCCTTCAGTCCCAGTACTCAGGAAGCACTCAATGAGTTCCAGGCCAGCTGGAGCTATTGGAAGACCCTGTTTCAAAACAAACAAACAACAACAACAACAACAACAACAAAAAACCTTTTGGGATGGGCATGGTGGCATACTCCTGTATCCTAGCACTTGAGAGGCTGAAGCAGAAGGATCCTGAGTTTGAAGTTAGCTTGGGCTACAGAGCAAGTCTCAACAAATAAACAAACCCACCTACCACCCTCAACAAATTTTGGGCTAGGGGAATAGCTCAGTTGATAGAGTGCTTGCCTAGCATGCATGAAGCCCAGGGTTCCCTCTCTAGCACCACATAAGCTGAGCACAGTGGTTCATTCCTGTAATTCCAGCACTTGGGAGGTGGAAGCAGGAGGATCAGAAGTTCAAGATCATCCTCAGCTACATATATAAGGGCAGCTTGGGTTACATGAGCTCCTAGCTCAAAAAAAAAAAAGGAGAGAGAGGAGAAAAATTCTTTATTTCATCCCAATTTTTAACTTACATAAAGAACTATATAATCAAAATATATGTCTAAAGAACTGTTTTCTATTTATTTATTTTTTGAGTTTTCAAGGCCATGTTACATAGCACAAGCTGGGCTGAATTCACTGTGTAGCCTAAGCTGGTCTCAAACTTCTTCTCAGCTCCTAGATGCTGAGATTATAGGCATGTGCCACCATACATGACTCTCAAAAGCTTTTTTAATACTCTGTTTAAAAAAATGAAACAAGGGGCTGGAGAGATGGTTCAGAGGTTAAGAGCACTGACTGCTCTTGTAGAGGACTCAGGTTTGATTCCCAGCACCACATGGTGGCTAACAACCATCCTTAACTTCAGTTCCAGAAGTCAGTGCTCTCTTCTGTCCTCTGTGGGCACTGCATGACACAGGTACATTTACATACATGCAGACAAAACACTCATAAAAACATCCAAAAAACAAAACAAAACTCTATTTTAAACCTTTTTTTTTTTTCCCTAATTGAGGTCTGACATCATCAATAGCATCGTGTGAGTGGTGTGTTACCAGTGTGATGTTGATTTTTTGCTCTTACCTATACCATTGTACTATTAAAACTTTGTTTTATTAGTGTCTCTTCCATGAAGTGCTAAATGTAGTAATTTTGTTTGTTTTCAAGAGATTCCAGAGAGTGGCATGATGCCAGGAACCATCATGGTGACTGAAGAAGAACTTAGTAGGTGTATTGACGATGTGTTTAAGGTTAGTACTTCAGGTCACTAATGTTCTTAGTTAATATTTATACTTGAGTCATATGAATGTATGCGTGTATTTTTTTTTTTTTTTTTTTTTTTTGACTCAGGGTCTCACTATGTAACCCTGGTTGGCCTCAAACTCACTATGTAGACCAGGCTGGCCTCAAACTCACAGAGATCCACTTACCTCTGTTTCCTGAGTGCTGGGATTAAAGACATGTGCCACTATGCCTGGCTTATACTTAAGTCTTTTGCAGATCTTTTATTTGGAGGTCCTGGGCATTGAACATAAGCCTCATGCTAGGCAAGCATTCTACTACTGATCTGTAATTCTAACTTTTAACAAGTACTTCAAGAATTGGAATGGTGGGGGCTGGAGAGATGGCTCAGCAGTTAAGAGCTTTGGCTGCTCTTGCAGAGGACCTGGGTTCGATTCCCAGCACATGGTTTCTAACAATCATCCATAACTCCAATCCCAGGGGATCTGATGCCCTCTTCTGTCCTCTGTGGGCACTGTACTACATGACATGGGTATATTTACATGCAGGCATAACACTTATACACATAAAATAAAATAAAAAAATAAAAATGAATTGGAATGAAAGGCTGGGGAGGTGGCTCAGCTGTTAAGAGTACTGACTGTTCTTGCAGAGGACCTGGGTTCAATTTCCTAGCACCCATACAGTAGCTAACAACTGTCCCTAACTCCAGTTGCAGGGTATATGATGCCCTCTTCTGGATTCTGTGGCCATTATACACATGTGGTGCACTTAACATACTTGCAGGCAAAACATTCATACATATAAAATAAAAATAATTTCATGACTTGAAAAAAAAAAAAATAGAGCCAGGCACGATGGCTTTCACCTTTAATCCCACTGCTAGGGAGGCAGGGGCAGGCAGAATCTCTGAATTCATGGCCAGTCTGGTGTATATAATGAATTGGAGGCCTGCCAGGGCTACATAGTGAGATATGGAGTATTAGACTTGAAAAGTACTGCTGGGTAGAGATAGGAAAAACTGTAAAGTTTGGTACAAAACCCTCCTACTATTTCTTGTAAATCACTAAAATAAGTTTAGAGGAAAAAGAGCATGGTTAATGTAGACTGTAATCCCAACACTTCAGAAGTAGAGGCAGGGGCATCATGAGTTTGAGGACAGACTAGACTACTTAGTGAAACCCTGTCTCTAAAAGAATTAAAAATAGGCAGCGAGCGAAGAAAGAAAGCACAAGAGATTTTTTTTCCTAGCAGAGGAATTAGCCTCTGGAAAATAGAGAGATCCGGAAATAATAAATCCTGTCATTTATCCTGTTCTTGTCCTCAAAAAGAAAGGATTCTCCTCATAGTTCAGTACCAGTTGGGGGGAATTTAAAACCTCCCAGTAAGGCATGTGAACTGTCAGTTTGCACTGAATTTCTGCCCCCAAGACCAGCACTGTGGGGAAGGGAGAATCATTGCCGAAGGTAATTGCTCTCTGTAAGGTTTTGGCAGCCCAGCTGTAGTTGGAAAACAGAGGAAATGTGTATGCTGAAGGAAAATGCTAAACACTGTGTAAAATTTAGCAACAAAGGGTGTGTTGTCTTTATTATCCTTCTGCTAATACTAAATTATAGCGTACAGTTCACTCGAAGGAAATGAGGACGACATCTGGGAACCGCAAATCCATCCAAGCACTCAATGGCCAACAAGAGGCTGTTTAGTTTTCGAGAGGCATCTGGGAATGTTTCCAGCTGTTTTTCTCTCTTTTCCTTCTGTTAACAGAGTTATTGAGATAAAATTCACACAGTATACAGTGCACTCATTCAAAGTGTACCGTTCAGGGCTGTGCAACCATCATCACTGTCTAATTTTAACGAAGCTTTGCATCATTAGCCATCATTCCTCTCTCCCCTGCCTTTAGCCCTCAGCAACCACAAGTCTACATTCTACCTCTATAGACTTAGATTTCACTTAAAGCAAACCATATGGTATGCGGTCTTAGCAAGAGCCTCCTCACCACCTAGACACGATCGCCTACCCACATAGAGCATAGGCTAGCCTTGATTTTAAAGTCCTCCTGCCCAATCCCCTCAAGTGCTGGGATTATAGGTATTATAATTTGATCCTTTATTTTGTCTTCTACTCTCTCATCTTGATTATTCCTTTTTTAAAATATAAAATAATTTTTAGTAATTATTTCAATGTCTTTGTCTTGTAATCTGCCATCTCTTTTTGGAAGGATCCATCGTATTGATTTTTCTGATCATGAGTTCTACCTTTTGCTTCTTTGCATGTCTGTAAATTTTTATGTTTTTGAGATATTCACATACCATAAACTTATTTTTTGTTTGTTTGTTTGGTTTGGTGGTGCTGGGGTTGGAAACCAGGATCTTGTACATACTAATCAACTTCTGTATCTCTGAGCTACCAGCACCAAAATTCATCTTTGTTTTTGGTTTTGTTTTTTAGACAGGGTCTTGCTAAGTAGCTCAGGTGGCCTTAAACTTAACCCTTTATCCTCTGCTTCAGCCTCCTAAGTGCTGGGATTATAGGCTGTGCCACCACACTTGATATTTCCTTCATATGGGCTAGGCATGTACTACCAAACTGATTTATACTTTATTTAAAGGGCAGGGATTGCGTACTAGAAATATTTCCTTCTGAAAGCATTTGTACACAAACACAAACACACACACACACACACACACTATGATATTTAAAGATTAAGCTCTCACCTCTTTGATTTTTAAAATGCTACCTATACCTCTAGTTCTATATATGAGTTTTATGTGGGAGCAAGGAAAGACTTTTCTACACTTGTACCTCTTATACATAGTGGGGTGCTTTGGTTATAAGAGCCCCGGTGGACCTGGTGGAACATTCTCAGTGGCTATGCAGTGCTAGATACTCACTTGTAGTTCATCTGCATGAATAATTCTCATTTCTATGTGGTCTGGGATTTACATTTTGTCTAAGCCCCAAAGGGGCTATGCAGCAACTCAGGAAACAGTTCTGTTGCTCCCTGACTTTGAATATCTGTGGATCAATCCTTCCAGTACTTAAATTCTTCTGTCTTTCTCAGTATGAGAGGGGTAATTGAGTGTTTCTTGGCTTGAGGAGATGAAGGGGGCCTAGACTCTTTAGGATAAGAGACAGCATTTATGTATTTACTTATATAGATACAGTTTCATTATGTAGGCCTGGCTGGCCAGGAAATTGTGGTGTAGACCCGGCTGACCTCGAATTCACAGAGCTCTACCTGCCTCTGCCTCCCAAGTGCTGGGATAAAAGGCATACACCACCACACCTGGCCTTATTGATTTATTGACTGATTGATTGAATTATGAGTATATGTGTGTGTCTGTATGGGGATATGTGCAGGTGTCACGTGAGTGCAGGTATTCGTGGGTGGGTCCCCTAGATCTGGAGTCACAGTAGTTGTGACCCATCATGATGGTGCTGAAAACTGAACTCAGTCCTTTGGAAGAGCAATATGCACTCTTAACCTCCTAAGCCATCTCTCCAGCCCTATAGTACTTTTTATTTGGGCATTTTCTTGGTCTTTAGGAGACTGGCTGCATTCTCACATGAGGGAAAGTGTTTTTATATAGTAGTATTTACAGTATTTGCCCAAGGCTTCTGAAAAGCAGAACAAATATTTGAGTAGGAAGATTGGAAGGTACTTGGTTATAATTTCTCACTTCCTCTTATCTCTGTTTCCAGATTCAGAGAATCTTGACTTCAATTATCCAAGTGTTTTTTCTGTCTAATGTAGCAAAGGACAGAGACACTGTGAGTTTGGGGCCAGCTTGGTCTGCATAGTGAGTTCCAGCCAACCAGGGCTACATAGTAAGACACTGTCTCAAAAAAAAGTATGTGTTGTGTTTGTGTGTGTGTGTATGTGTGTGTGTGTGTGTGTGTGTGTGTGTGTGTGTGTGTGTGTGTGTGTGTGTGTGTGTGTCTGTGGCTTGCCTTAAAGTCCTGATTCTCCTGTTTCCCCTCCCAAGTTCTGTACAGGAATATGCCACCATATCTGTTTTTTAAATCATCCTGGATTATTTATAACAATGTAAATGCTATGTAAACAGTTGTTCAATTCTGTTATTTAAGGGATAATGACAAGTAAAAATATCTGTGCATATTTGGCACTTAATGCAGTTTTCTTCCTTATTTCAGTCTGTATTAGGTTGAAACCACAGAGATACAACCCATGGATATGGCGTACTGATTGTCTTTCTTTCTTTTTTTTCTTTTTGTTTAGATTTTTTTTTTTTGCGGGCGGGGGGCAGTTCTTTTTGAGACAGGGTCTCCCTGTAGCCACATCTGGCCTGGATTTGCTATATAGAGCAGGCTGCCCTTGTACTTGCAGAGACCCGCCTGCCTCTGCCTCCCAAGTGTCTTTAGACTTTTTAAAAAATACTTTATTTATTATTTTTATTTTATGTGTATGTGTGTATTGCCTGTGTGTAGGTAAGTGCACCCATGTCATGCGATGCCTGCAGAGGACAGAAGAGGCTGTCGGATCCCCTGGAAGTAGAGTTATGGACAGTTGTTAGCTGCTATGTGGGTGCTGGGATTCGAACCTGGGTCTTCTGCAAGAACAACCAGTGTTCTTAACCGCTAAGCCATCTCTCTATCCCCTAGATTTATTTTTATTCTGTGTATATAGGAGTGTTTTGCTTATATCTATGTGCACTATGTACATGTACATGCAGTGCCCTAGGAGTCCAGAAGAGGGCATCAGATCTCCTAGAACTGGAGTTACAGGCAGTTGTGAGTTCTCATGTGGGTACTGGGAAATGAACCCAAGTCCTCTACAAGAGCACCCAGTGCTCTTAACCACTGAGTCATCTCTCTAGCCCCTTTCCCCTTTTAAAAGATTTATTTATTTACTTACTTATTTTTTGTTTTTTTGAGATAGGACCAGGTTGGCCTTGATCTCATAGAGATCCACTTGCCTCTGCCTCCTGAGTGCTGGAATTAAAGGTATGTGCTATCACTCCCAGCTTTATTTTTATTTTATGTG